GTAGGGTCCGCCAGGGGTGTGTGTTGGTTCTGATGCCAAGCGTCCCAAAGGAGACAAGGCTGGAAGCCACAGACTCCCCCCCCCCCCCCCCCCCCCCCCCGCAAAGCTGCCCCTCTGTTTAGAGACCAGGCAGTGACAACCCAGCTCCAAAGGCCTGGTAGGGTGACTGATCCATCCCAGTTTGCCTAGGCTCGCCCTGGTTTTAGCACTTTAGTCCCGTGTCCTGGGGGCTCCATTGGTCAAATGCAAACTGGGCGGGGGGTCACCCCGGACCTGGGTTTGGGCCCTAACATTGCCGTGAATTCTACATGACCTTGGGCAAAATTGTTCCTTCTTCCGAGGAAAGTCCCTCCCCAGCCTGACCTCCTGTGATGATGCATCGCGTCGTGCAAGGATTACCCCTGTGCTCTCCTCTGCAAAGCCCTTTAGTCCCTCCCCCTCCCCTGACACTAAGCAGATGTTTTCAGGGAAAACATTCAGGGAGGCATAGAGAATGCCTGAGAAACTTTGGATCTTGGATATAAAAAAAAAAATTGCTGTTTTAAATTGCTTCCCTGATTAGTAACTAATCAAATGTTCTCTGTTCTTTTGATCTCATCTGTCAGCAGCAGCCCAGGGACACATTTGGGTGTGTGTTTTCATATGCAGAGCAGCCTTTAGGAGCCTGCCAAGAAAGTGCAGCCTTAGAAACCTCCTCCCAGACCCAGCCGGAACCCCCACCCCCCACCCATGCTCGCGTCTCACCGTCAAACACCACTTTGGCACCATTTCCCGTCCTGCCCAGGTGCCTTCCAGACCACTCCCCAGGGCCTGGCGCTCCAGCCCCCGCTCTGTCTGGGGGTGGCCTCTGCTCCCCCCACACGCCCCGGATCCTCGGACTCCCAGCGGGTTCCTGCTGACGCTGTTTCCACGGTCCCTTCCCCTGACCCTGCCCTCCTGCCGCGCCACTCCTGCCTCTCTCCCCTGTGTGTCTGGCCTGCTGGCCCCTGTCCAGCCTGCCTCAGCGCTCCCTCCCTTCCTGGGCTCGCTTCCCGGTCCAGGATGTGCTTGCCTCACACCTTTTGCATCCTGAGCTCCTTGCACGTCGACAACCGAAACAGTGAGCTGATGGGACTTGCGGGCTCACCTGGGTCAGCTCGCTCTGTTTCAGAAGCGTGCGAGAAGTGGGGGGGCTCAAAAAGTCAGCTGGAAAGTTCCAGAACCCAGACCAACCCCCAGCCCTGATCTACAAGGCGTGGGCTGAAAGGATTCGACCCACAGCTGTCTGCTGAGCTCCTACTATGTGCCAGGCACTGTCCAGAGAGGGAACAAGAGAAATGTGAGAATATACCAACTGTGCCCCCTGGGCCGGGTGGATACCACACAGGGCAGTGGGAAACTGACAAGCAGAACAATAGTCAGGTATAGTTGAGTTGACACAAGCTAGCCCAGCTCTCAGCACCCTGCCCGGTGGATCAGGGGAAGGCTGACTTCTGACGCCAGCTGCCCCACATGCTGGAGATGGGAGCAAGGGGGGCACCCTGCAGTCAGGAAGCGGCCTTGTTGGACAGCGGCCACCTTCAGCCTGTGCTCCCATCAGCTAGCTCAGGCCACTGAGTCCCCTCAGGAAGAGGACATGAGCCTCCAGGCCCATCCCATTTGTCTGCCCATCCTTTTTTTTTTTAATTATTATTCTGGTAAAATACACATAACAAAAAATTTACCATTTTTAAGTGCACAGTTCTGTGGCATTAAGCACATTCACATCGCTGTGCAGCCATCCCCACCATCCGTCTGCAGGACTCTCATCTTCCCAAACTGAAACTCTGTCCCCATGAAACACTCACCCCATCCCCTCCCCCAGCCCCTGGCACCACCATCTCACTTCCTGTCTCTGTGGGTTTGACTCCTCTAGGGACCTCATATGAGTGGAATCCTACAGGAATTGTCCTTCTGTGACTGGCGTATTTCACTTGGCATAATGTCCTTGAAGTCCATCCATGTTGTACCATGTTTTGGAATTTCCATCTTCTTAAAGGCCGAATAATATTCCATGGTGTGTATTTTTTCTTTATCCATTCATCCATTGATGGACTCTTGGGTTGCTTCCACTTTTTGGCTCTTGTGAATAATACTGCTATGAACACAGGTGTGCCAATATCTGTTTGAGTCTCTGCTTTTACCTTTTTTGGGTATATAGCCATATGTAGAATTGCTGGGTCATATGTTAAATCTATGTTTAATTTTTGAGGAATTGCCATACTTTTATTCCACTGCAGCTGCACTGGGGACACATTTTGAAGGCAGAGCAGACGTGGTATGCTGGTGAATTGGACTTGGAGTGGGAGGGAAAGGAAGTATTAAAGGTGCCTTTTTCTCTAAAGGGGAGGTGAGAACTGGGAGGGAGCTGGGGGGGGAGATGTCACAAGAAAAATGTGAATGAAGTATAGACATGACACTCTGTTGCATTCCTCTTGTTTCCGTCCTGCTCTGATCACGGCCCTTCCTCCCTGCTCACCTCGTCCAGCACGCACCTTACCTGGGCAGGGCTCGGCCAGCACCCACTGCTCGTCTAACAGGTGGACACTGGCGTCTCGGTATAATCTTTATTTGCATTGCTCTTACTATAATGAGGCTGAATGCCTTTTAACATGAATTGTTGCCTCATATCCTTTGCCCTTTTAAAAAATTCAACTGCTGCTCTTATTTATTATATTGTAGGAGCCATTATTAAGGGAATCAGGGCTTTCCGTGATATAAGTTGCAAACCTTTTTTTTTCCAATTTGTTTCTTTTCATTTTTTTTT